TAAAAATCTTGCATGACAGAGGAAGTAAAATCTCTTTCACAAATACCATCACTTAATTCTCACAACCTATAATGAAGTCAGAGCAGGTTCAATAAATATTCACTGATGAATAAAATAAATTCAATGACTTTCAGGTCACAGACATTTAGAGATAAGGAAATAAGACCCAGCCCGTCAAAGTGAATTTGTTAAAAGCAAGTGGGTTGTTGGCAGCAAAGCCAGGTCTACAGCCCAGTGTGCCCAACGCTCACTCAGGTGATCTTCTGTTACAGGTGCTGCTACACTTGACTGAAATCTCACCTTTTAAAGAGTGGCCTTCAACTTGTGTGGGTTAGATTTCCAAAAGCTCAACAAGTAATCAGTTACTACTTTTCTCTCAAGGCCTCATGCTAAGGGCTAAAAACAAGCTCTGAGGGCTGTGAACCATGACTCAGGCTTTTGTGCCTCACACAGATGTGACTGTTTCCTGGGCAACCATAGAATTATCAGATTACAGAGATTGATGTAATTCAAGATGAGTTTCCCCTGTAATAATAAACTGATTTTATGTTCTTTTTCTAATTATTATTTCAAAAGTGCCTCAATTTGTTCTTAAGACCAGATTACGAACTATCGTTAATAGGAGAAATGTTTATAGCAAAAAATATATATAGAAAATCATTGATTAAATGTTACTTTTCATGTGTATGTGTGAGGGAGAGAGACAGAATTTCAGGGGACCAGGGAAATCCCAGTACTGTAATAGGATTTGGCTGCAGAGCAATTTCCTTCTTCCTGAGTGCAGTTCTTTCTTTAGACATTTGTCATGTAATGCTCAGCCTGGCCAGGTAGGAGGGGACTTGGAGATGAGAATGCAGGAGGACAAGAGACGGCCACCTGCAGAGATGACTGAACTTCTTTCTCAGACTTCAGACTGGCACTGAGAATCGCCTTCTCAAAGGGCAGGGAATCAAATATTGCACCGAAAAACACCGCACAATTCCACAAAGGACCAGCCTGAGGATGCCGGAAGCGGAAGTGGCCTCGGAAATCATCATTCAGGCCCATCCGTCAGTTTGAATATGAGATAACTGAGACGCAATGAGAGTTCCCCTGGAGTCAAAATATGTTCATGCTGTGTTGCCCTGGGAAAATCATCTTTAAAATAAGATCATAATAAATCCTCCTAATAGGATTGTGAGGATCAGCCAGCACTCAGCTCTCTGTAAATAAGAATGAAGGGCAGTGGCGACAGTACAGCTAATGCTGAGATATGTGCATTTTCAGCAGAGACGCGACAAGAATAAGTAAGCAACATAAAGCAATATGAATATTTTTCCTATTACAATTTTCACTATTTTTTACTTATATAAATAGAACAAGTTCTTATTGAATTAGAATTATTTCTAAGACAACCAGAACCAAAGGCAGAAGTAATTCTCCTAAGAACACTGCCCTGGCAGACTCATGCTACTGCTCCCCTCGATCCGGGCCGGAGAGGCAGCACCTGAGGGGACGCCTTCCCAGGAGCAAGGCTGGCTAGGGCTGCAGCCCGGCCTGGCCATCCTGGCTCAGGGCAGGGTGCGCCAGGGGAGCATCTGAGAATGAGGCAGCTTTTGACATCTCTAATAGGACGAGGGTCTAGAGTGGAATTTGAGGAACTCTCATTTGACAAAACATGGAAGAGCAAGAATTCTTTGGTACTTTCTTTAGGTCTGTTTAGAAAGAAAATAATCCAAACTCCAGATCAGAAACAATGGCTCCAAGTGCTTGAGGGGATTTCAGAATCTCTGTCTACACTCTTGGCTCCCCTGCTTGTGTTCTCACCAGAGATTTCCAACCCAGTCATCATTCTAAAATATCAATGGAAAGAGGTCGTCCAATCAATATTTGACAGCTTTTTCTCTGGGCATAAGAAATTTATGTTTATTGGACTTAGATTTTCACTGACACAGAACAATTTTCAGCTATTTAAAGACTACCAATAAACTATAAAAAAGAACTTCTATTAAGGCATGAACTGGAACTCTACTAAGCAGTAAAGAGGATGAACTGTTGGCACATGCAGGAGATGGATAGATCTTAAAAGCAGTATGCTCGATAAGAAAAAACAAATCAATCTCATAAGGTTCTCTAAGATTCCATTTTACAGCACCTCATAATTATAAAACCACAGAGATGTAGAGCAGAATAGTGACTGCTGAGGACACGGTGGGGATGGTGGGTAAAAGTGACTACACAGGAGTAGCATGAGAAAATTTTTTTGTATTAATTGAACATTTCTATATTTTAATTGTGGTATGAGCCTGTGCAAGGGATCGAACTGCACAGAAATACATACACACACATACACCAACACAAGTGCTTGTAAAAACTGATAAAAACAGAATAAGGTCTGCTGTCTTCTTAACAGTATTGTACCAATGTCAGTTTCCTGGTTTTGATGTTGTACTGTAGTTATATAAGAAGTCACTATTTGGGGAAGCCAGATGAAGGGTTCACAGGACTATATATGGTATTTCACAACTTCCTGGGAGTCTATAATTACTTCAAAATAAAAGTTAGAAAATAAATTAAAAAGAATGACAGACTCAGGAAAGAATATTTATAACTCATATCACCAAGGGCTTAACTCCTTAATAGGTAAAGAATCTCTAAAAACTAAAAAGAAAAATAATGAACCAAGAGAACAAGGGAAAAGGGACATGAATAAATACTTAACAGGAAGATAATTATAAATTACACAGAGATATAAAAATAGGTTCAACATCTGAATAAGGAAATAAAATAAAATATGAATAAGAAAAATGAAATTTAAACTTGACCGAGATATCATTTCTTATACATCAGATTGAAAGAAATCTAAAAGTTTAACACCACCCTCTACTGGTTTCACTAGGAAAAGAGATATCTTCATACATTGAAATTGAGAATGCAGAATATTACAATCCCACAAAGGAGCATTTGGAGAAGAGCATCAAAATCAAATACATATTTAGCTCTTGACCTGTAATTCTACTTTTAGGAATCATTCCTACAGATAAATGAATTATCAGAAGCCATTATGAATTGGCATAAACCAGTATGAATTGGCATGAGCCATTAGAAAAAATACAACAAAAAGGTATGGTTAATAAGTCAACAGTCAAAAAAAATAGAATAAGAAAAACTTAATTTACAAAAACAAAGAAAACAAAGGGAAAAGTGAGAGTAAAAAAGAGATGGCAAAAGTAGAAAACGAGTGGTGATATTTAAATGTGACATATTAAATATAAATGGTTTAAACATTGAAAGGCAAAGATTATCTGATTATATGCTGTCTAATTTTAAATATAAAGACATATATAGCTAAAAAGTAAAAAGATGGAAAAATATATATCATGCAAACACTAATCAAAACAAAGCCTCAGCATATAGATAAATATCAAACAGATTCGATTTCAAAAGAAGTAACACAAAGACAAATAAGGAGATAGTAGGTTGGTGCAAAAGTAATTTAGCATTGTTGAAATTTTCCCTTTGATATTGGAATACATTCTTAAATAAATATAGTTATGTTATACATCATTTTAATGCACATTTCTTGATTTACATTTTTTTGCTAATGACTTACTACTTGCTGTTTATTTGATATTTATTTTAGACTATGGAAATGATGTTAGACAAAAAGCAAATTCAAGTGATTTTCTTGTTCAAGTTCAATGGGTC